CGAGTCGAGCTAGTTCGCGAGCTTCACGAGCTGAACAAAACTTAGCTCACGTTCGGCTCGTTTATTAACGAGCCGAGTTTCAAACGAGCTTTTCTCGAGTCGAATGTCGAGCCGCTCGCGAACAGCTCGACTCATTTGCAGCCCTATTTCAATCCCAACAGTTGACGGTGAAACCTTAAGTTTCATTCTCCCTGCCCTGTCACCCCGCGCAAGCTGGTGGGCATATATTATGCAAACAAAGCTTGAAGAAGAGATAACAAAATGGAACAATGGATACGGCTTTGGTGAAGATGTCAACTAGCTTATGAGAAGACAACATAAATAAGCTTGATGATTTGGCATACAATTTCTTACCCATAAGGTGGCAGTCGAGCTCAATGTGCTTCTTCACTCATAGATTGTAGGATTTTCATCAATGTATATTTCATTTTGATTGTCACCGTACAAATTAAAATAGTGGGTTGTGGATGAGGTACCTGAAAGTCACCAAGAAGATATACCAACCATTGGAGCTCACAAACTCACAAACTTTGAAAAACATATTCGTTCAGGAGAAAGACAGAGGGAGGGAGTTGCACAAAGGGAGAGCACTCGCCAAATATGAGTTTGGGAAAGCGACGAAAGAGGCTGAGGAGCATCCGATTAAATGAATCTTGTCACTCAACACATACCCAGTAGCTATAGGCATTGGGGGAAGAGCTTAAAGCTGAGGCTTCTCGGAGAAAGCTTTTAGGGCGGATCTCCATGGTGGTGTATATCGTGGTCTTATAAGCGGTACGACCACCTCATCCCTCTCTATCGCCCAATGCATAATCTATGATGGCGAATGTAGCTGAATTGCAAGTACGAGGACTAATTGGATTGGAGATGAAGTAAGACGACCAGTGCAGCCAAAATCGCGCTTTAAATCGTAAAAACTTACGTTTTTACGTATCTAGGTCACTAAAACGATTCAGATTCCACCTAAAATCGTTTTGCTCACAAAATCGTTAAAATCTTATGTAAAAACGGTAAAATCATACAAAAACTTGTTTTTATAGCGTTTCTATGCGATTCCATGCACTATCCAGAAAAGTAACATTTGCACCAAAGTGACGTCGTCTACTGTTATAAAATTTATATATTAAAAAATAAATGGACATAAATTTTGAAAGGCGCTCGAGTATCTGAATCCCTAATACGAAATGGAAACAACCGCAACTCCAAATCCCTATGCGGTGCCTCTACCATCACCACTCCCCAGTGCTCTCCACCACTCTACCGTCACCGGCTCTCTGCACCACTCCACCGTCCCCAGTTCAAAACTGTTCAATTCTCTCCCCGTGGAGGTGTCTCCGCTTGTCTCTTGCTCTCCACCGTCTCTACATCTACGAGGAATTTCTCCATGAACTCCGACGATGAATCAAGAAATCGGGGCGACAGACTGGTGGTGAGAATAGGGAAGGTTACGCTTGACCAAAAGGAACAGATCAAAGAAGTCTCTTGCAATGACTCATGGGGTCCGACAAAGGATGAGATCGATTGGCGAGGGCATTTTTGAAGCCGCGATGGTGAAGGGATGTTGGGTCGTTATATGCACCAAGTCGAATCGTAACATCGACAAAGCTTCTTAAACCCTAAGTTTCCAATTGTTTGCTGGGCGGGCGGAACAAAGATGATTGGGTTCTCTATACTTGTATTTGATTTCGACTCCAAAACTCATTGTCCATCGTTCCTTATATGAATTATCTCATTGTTGTTTTGGGCTCTAAGATTAAATTTCTCAGAAGCCTTGGATGCTACTGTACTATTTGATTTTCGAATGATACACTCACATTTTACATTAACCTAAATTGCATGTATTTATTTACTTATCGAAAATCTATACACTCACATTTTAGATAGCACATGTCTTAACATATTTTTAACTATTTTACATGATGCATAAAAAACTTACCTTTTTACACTTTGTTTCTACGCTTTATGATTTTACCCCTTTTCCGCTTCTAGGTAGAATCGCACTTCTGACTGCATTGAAGACGACATAGGGGTTGTGGAAGAAGCATAAGAATAAGGGAACTCGGTCACACCGGCTTTACTTCGCCAATGAAAGTCAGAGCAGTTGGTTCAATGGATGATGCAGTTGTTAAGGATCATCGTCCTTGCATTGACTGGCTACTGAACCAGTTTTAATGTGACGATGACGATTAGAGATACTGACAGGCAACAATAGTGACCAACATCCAGCGGCGGGTGGGAAACTTAAAGGGTTGAGATTTGAGTGATGCACCAATAGAAAGAGAAAGCAATATGATTCTTTAGGGTTTAGGGAGAGAGATATGCAAATTCATATGTGGGTGTTATTTTTGTTCCAAAACTATCACAGAGCAATAATGATTGTAAATTCAAAATAAGAGAATGAAGGATGAAGAAGTAAATTGTCACTGCGAAACCCTTTTAAAAGTTGGCATCGTAACCCATTTCAAATAACAGCTGTAATATTTTTGGTAGGGTGTGATGGTGGCTCGGATGAATGGTTTGATCTTCTAAGGACAAGATGAGTTTTTGGAGGTGGTTTGAGTGGTGAAGGTCATGTGTTGGTTTAATTGGTGGTTTATGTGTTTGAAGGGGAGGAAGGCGTATGCTGGTGATCAAGGTTTGTATGTGCCCATGTGGTGATGGTTCTGGTGAAAATGTGGTTGTTGTGGGTTGTGAGGTTATGAAAAATCGTCATCAGTCGAGGGAAATTGGTTTAGGGCTTTCATCATCATTGATTAGATTTTTGAAAAGAAAAGGACTCACAGAATGCACACAATATACATCAATTGCTAATTCTTGAAGTTTGTATTAACCCTCAATCCATGGTTGTTACGTAGATGTTAGTTTAAAAATCTCAATTCAAGATACTCACATACACAATTAAAGGTTCTCGTCTTAACATGGTCCTTTAGTGTATAATTTTGGAACTTTTTGAAAAAATTATTTGTCTTTTGTGTTTGTTTTGGAACAAAAATTAAACTACTTATATTAATAATTCATAAAGTATGTACAAAACACACAGATATAGGTGCATTTTAAACAATGTCACGCTTGAAAAATTAATTTATAAATTTTGAACTTTTTATAAAAATAAAAATTCATACAAACATTGTTTTTTCTTTGAATTCATACAAACATTGTGACATTTCACATGCATTTGAATTTTTGGATGTAGTGTAGACACATTTATTGTTAATATCTAAGTATATATATAAAAATTTTATATAAATTTTTCACCCTAATTAATACATTTGAACTTGGCTAGTTGATAGTAATACAAAAACGAAATTTTGTGGCTAGGATAACTAAAGGTAAATACAAATTATATTGCTTATTGTTAGTCTATTAGAAACTAAAATATTTCGATTTTGAAACTTTGATAACATAAATCTTTTTGTTATTCCAAAATATTTGTATGAAGTCACAGACACACAACAACATAACCAAAAGAATTCTTACCATTGTCTTACTGAACTCATTTTTAATAAAAAATTTCACTTTTAACCCTATACCTCGGTTTCGACTCTTGTAACTATAAATGCTTTTTATTTAGATATCTCAACTAGCACACTGATATTTATTTATTGCACCAATCCTTGATTTGTCAACCAAGATATCCAACTATTAAACGAAAATTTCCATCCCTTATTTGATCAATGCCTAGGTCAATGGTTGATGAAATGTGATGTTTATCATACATCCTCAATGAAAATTTCTCTAACCTTTACACATGTCATTTTTCAAGGTATCTCATGTATCAACCTAGAGTATGAAGTCAAAGATCGTCAACAATCATACTTAAGTTATTTTGAAAATTTTGATTTATAATCCTCTACAATGACTCTAAGTCTGAGATTTTTTTTAGAGTACGACTTAGGACCTCAATAGATAGCTTGTTCAATCAATATGATCTAGAATAAATATTATTAATGTGAGATTATGACACATAATACATTATCGCACGTCTGGTTCCTCTTCATTTGACAGATTTAAGGTAAAATATAAATATATGTTTTCGCTTAAATGGAATTAATAAGAAGTTTTTAAGAAATAACTATTATTGCTTGATCAAGTTTATCTTCAGACATTTTGCTATATACTTGTTTTATAGGATAAACATAAAGCTTAGGAAGAAGAGAGTGTATGATACCCAAAAATATAAAGTCATATCGTTTATTTTTTAAATTCAATTAGTTGTCAACCGGTTGTTTTATCTTTTTCCATTATGATAATATTTTATTTATTAAAAATATAATTATTTAGGTTTGTGTGTGTTTTTTTTAATTTGTTTATCATAATGTAGCTATTGTTACGTTTTAGTAAAACTGAGTAGAAAATTTACTTGATGAGATTTAATAAGATATTAATGGTTAGCTAAGCTTTGTTACTCATCCTAACGGGAGGATAACATAGTCCCTTTACCCACTAAGACTCCATATTTAGTCTAAACTCGTCATGGCACCAACTTGTCATATCGGTATTAAGTTTGTCTTGTTGACTTGAGACCCTACCGCAGTGAATGGAAGCCCGGAGTTATGGCCATGGCGAGCTGCGGCATGGATCGGAACCATACGACAACTATACTGCTCTTTCCCTTCGATCCGAGTCGAGTTTTTCAGTAGAAAGCTTAATGTTAAAGCAAACTGGGTGGCAAGGTCCTGTGCCAGGAACCAACTGCCCCCGGACTGGATTAACGTCCTTGATATTGTGGCTCCCCTACTGTAATTTGTGGCTTTCTTCCACCCCAAGTAATGGAAAAAGTGTCCTACTGTAAAAAAAAGAAGAGAAAGAAGGTGAATCCAAAGCGCACTGTCCAAACGGGCAGGTGGCAGTGGCAAGGGGAATCGGGGCAGGTCACACAGCCACGACAGAGCAAGCCAGACAAATTCAATTCAATTCAATTCATTCGAAAAGGAAAGAAAAGGAATTCATTACCCAATCCTCGCCTGCTCCCTCTCTCCTCTACCATATTTCAAACCACCAGCTACTCTCTCTCTCTAGAAGTTAGGGTTGCTCTCCGAATCCTTCTACTACCTCATTGATTCAGTTCGCAAAACCTACTCCCCATTTCCTTCAATGGCGGTTCCTGCAGGCTGTTAGACTCCCCGATCTCCGGATCCTATATGAGGTCGACCGAATTCTAAATGAGGTCGACCGAATCCTAACTGAGGTCGACCGGAAAGTTGAAGTCACCGTGACATGCATGTCACCGTAGGCACACCCTAATATTTTATTTATTATAATATAATTATTTAGGTTTGTGTGTGTTTTTTTAGTTTGTTTATCATAATGTAGCTATTGTTACGTTTTAATAAAACTGAGTAGAAAATTTACTTGATGAGATTTACTAAGATATTAATGGTTAGCTAAGCTTTGTTACTCATCTTGACGGGAGGATAACATAGTCCCTTTACCCAGTAAGACTCCATACTTAGTCTAAACTCGTCATGACACCAACTTGTCATATTGGTATTATGCTTGTCTTGTCGACTTGAGACCCTACCGCCTTGCCTTGTCGGTAAGCCACTCTTACCAGCTTGCTAGCAAGTCCATCCCAATGACTTGGTACCTCGCCCTCTCCGGCTTGACACCTCCTGCCACCAAGCCAGTCATGTCGGTCCCTGCTACCAAACCAGTCGTGTTGGCTTGGTCTATTACTTAGTTTTTAGAATCTCACCGAGTTGGTACCTTGCCACCCTGGTACCCCGTTGGGTCGCCACCTTAGCTGACCGCCTTGTCCCTTCCTCATTGATTTGGCACCCCTGCCAGTTTGATATCTATACTTTGTTTTTGGGAGGTTTGACATCTTGGTACTAAACCCGCCTTGCCGTTTGGTACCCTCTTGGCTCCATACTTAGCTAAATTTCATATCTTGCTACCAAGCCTGCCTTGTCGGCTTGGTACCCTCTTGGCTGGCAACCAAGTCTGTCTTGTTTCCAGACTTAGTCAAATTTCATATGTTGGTACCGAACTTGTCTTGTCGGCTTGGTACCTTATTGCCTGGCTACCAAGCCTGTCTTGGCGGCTTAGTATATGGACTTAGTTTTTTGGAGCCTCATTAAGCTGGTAGCTTGTCACTCTCTCGGCTTGGTACCCCATTTTCACCAAGCCTGTTCCGTCAATTTGATCTCCATACTTAGTTTTTTTGGAGCCGCATTTAGTTGGTACTACAAAATCTGTCTTGTTGGCTTGGTACCCTATTAGCTGGCTACCAAGCCTGCCTTGCGGGCAAGGTGGATATCCATACTCAGTTTTTGGATGACTCTCTAAGTTGTGTTGCTATCAAGCATGCCTTGTTCCAATACTTAGTTTTTTAGAGTCATGTTTCATACCAACTTGCTTGTCACAAGGGGGGGGGGGGGCATCGATTATCGAGGCTACGAGGGCGGTCGGTCACCTAGGCCAGGAAGAGGTAGTCTGGCCACTTAGGTCCAAAAACCTAATCCAATATAACCCAACTAACTCATTTAATGTATAATGTTGAGCTGTTCTTATAAATCTATTAAAACCGTTATAATAATTAATGTGGTACAATATTAATTTTTTGGTAAACCCTTCTTAATGGTTGGTTGTCACAATACTGCCATTATAACTTATCCATCATATCCGATCCCACTTAGGAGTTTTCTCCATAACCAAAATAGTTTGTTTCTGCAAAACAAAACAAAGAAAATAGAGGAAAAACGAATTCCTCAGTTCGAAAAAAACACAGCAGTAGCCCCCATTGGGCTTTTTTCGGAAAATACAGCCCAGCAAAAGAAAGAAGGTGAATCCAAAGCGCACTGTCCAAACGGGCAGGTGGCAGTGGCAAGGGGAATCGGGGCAGGTCACACAGCCACGACAGAGCAGGCCAGACAAATTCAATTCAATTCAATTCGAAAAGGAAAGAAAAGGAAGCCATCACCCAATCCTCGCCTGCTCCCTCTCTCCTCTACCATATTTCAAACCACCAGCTACTCTCTCTCTAGAAGTTAGGGTTGCTCTCCGAATCCTTCTACTACCTCATTGATTCAGTTCACAAAACCTACTCCCCATTTCCTTCAATGGCGGTTCCTGCCGGCTGTTAGACTCCCCGATCTCCGGAATTCTCCAGCTGGTGATGAGCTTCGTCGACTCCGAGACTGTCATTTGACTCCGAATCTTGAGGCCGCGAAGGGGCGAGCTGAAACAGCAGCATTTTGCGTCGCTTTGGTGCTTTCAGCTGGTGTAGAGAGATCTGAGCCGCTGCAGCTGGAAATGAGCGCGTCGAGGTTCATCAAGTGCGTGACCGTCGGCGATGGCGCCGTTGGCAAGACCTGCCTGCTTATTTCGTACACTAGCAACACTTTCCCCACGGTAACCGCCGGCGTCTCACTCAGATCTCTTGTTGCTTAAATCTACTGTTATTCTCTTCAGTTCCGTAGGCTTCCTGTTTTTTTTGTTCCCGCGGTCAATTAGGGCGCGAATTTGAGCTGGACGGACTTTTCATTCGAGTAGCTTAGATCGGCTGTTTAAGTCAGCTCGTCTTCCGAATTCTCTCTCACATTGGCGGTTGTAGCTGAAGTCATTCGATGATTACTTTGTTAGTTGTTGACTTCGTTTGAATCTCGATGGTGGAGAGAACTTGTTCGTTCTTTGATGAACTTGTAGTCCTAGCAGCAAGCTGCTGAAACATTTCAATCCTGTTCATCCTTCAGGGAAGTAATTTCTTGATGTTGGACTCTGAATTGCTTGAAAATCGTCGGAAGTTCAGTGTGCTGGTCGTTGAAGCGTTGGTGTCGCTTTGACCTGGTAGTTGAATTGTGGAGTCATCAGTCAATACAGTGAACTATCAATCTGCTGGCTGTTTTCTTACGTTAATATCGTAGTTACTAGCTAGACCTGACTTAGCTTGAATTGATCTCGATGGAATTTAGAAATAACTCATTCTAGCAGGTCCAAACTAAGTGTCTATGGCCACAACACATTGATCCTTTCCCTTTCCAGCATGTGTGAAACTTTTCTGCTATTGTCGAACATTTAGTTATTGATCTATGTTGCTTACTGCTGCTGTTTCGTGTATGTTTGTGGTGAAAAATCAGGATTATGTGCCAACCGTATTCGACAATTTCAGTGCGAATGTTGTTGTGGATGGAAGCACCGTCAACTTGGGGCTATGGGATACTGCTGGTAATTTCAGCGTTGTTACTAGCGGTTTGATGGTAATATCAGCTTGGTTGGTGAGCTTTCTTGATTTGGAATTTTCCTTGTGCCCTGAACAGGCCAGGAGGATTACAATAGGCTGAGGCCATTGAGTTACCGAGGAGCGGATGTCTTTATTCTTGCATTTTCACTTATTAGCAAGGCTAGCTATGAAAACATTGCTAAAAAGGTCAGGAAATGTTGGTTGGCAGCTTATAGTAGTTCAAGAGATCCCTTCTTTTCTAAGTGCTCATGAAAAGTGTTCTTGCTGTTGAGTTCAGTGGATTCCAGAATTGAGGCACTATGCACCTGGGGTTCCTATTATCCTTGTCGGAACAAAGCTAGGTAAGCATTTCGCTGCTCTATTTCATTTCTAATGTTCCATTAAGAAGTTCCTTGAAACTTATGTATGCCTCTGATTCTTTCACGAAATGGTGTAGATCTTCGAGATGATAAGCAATTCTTCAATGACCACCCTGGTGCAGTGCCTATTACCACTGCTCAGGTAAAAAGGCCAAGCCTGAGATCTTCTAGTGCCTCTCTCCTTTCTTCCGAAATTTGTCTCTGACTATTGGCTTTCTGTTTAAGGGAGAGGAACTCAAAAAATTGATTGGAGCTCCAGCATACATCGAATGTAGCTCTAAAACGCAGCAGGTACCAGCTCACTGCTCTGCCATTTTGTTTCAAGGCAACTATGCTGAAATATTCTGACTATCTTGGTAACTTACGATATTCTTATACTTTTGCAGAATGTGAAAGCGGTGTTTGATGCGGCCATCAAGGTAGTGCTCCAGCCTCCAAAGCAAAAGAAGAAGAAGAGAAAGGGACAAAAGAATTGTTCCATATTGTAATTTGATTCTCCCAAAGTGGGAAGAAAGTCTCTCTTCCCCAGCTATCCCCCTAGGTAACTTCTCATTATCGTCTTTCCTCCGATCTGGCCCTGAAATTGGGAAGCTGAGAAATCCGTTATTGTATAGTATTTGAGGGTTGTGTTCTTAGGATGGAAATTCCAGACTCATTATTCGTCTTGCTTTCTTACATAATGTTCTCGTCTGTATTTTGAACTGCATTCCCTCTCGAGCATGCTTTCTTGTTGTGTCTCACTAGCTGATAAAGATGGGTTATTATGTCCTTAAAACTTGTCCGAAGGAACATGACTATATGATAGGATTGATGGTCTAGAGTCTTGACTTCTGTGAGGCGCGAAACCTGTGTTAGCACTGCACGTTTTCATAACTGTCGGCTGACTTGACATGTGCTCAAAAGTAGTGGGTGTGGTGTGAGTTAACAGTCAGCTTCTTCGTAGGTTCAAAATGTCTGGGTTTATTTGGGTCTTGGTTTGTGGTTCTGGTCGTCGATGACTGGGAAGATGAAAGATACTATGCAAGGATGAGACAAAAATGTTTTGTTTAGGTTCGTTGTTTTGAAGTATCCTTGTTGTCCTTGCTGTTTGGAGATTGTGTTATAATTCTAGAGTGGCTTGGGTGGCTGAGAAAGGGTACTTAGATAAACTAGGCGGACTGTTGATCGTTCAGATGTAAGTGATCCGGGAAGGAGATGCATGTATCTTGTGTTTAACGAAATAGAGCAAAGGAAGATCAGCCAGCTGCATGAACCCAGGAAACTTTTATGCTCGACCGAGCGAGCGCCATTTCCTCATTTCATGTTCTGCATTTCCCAAGTTCTGGCTTTGTGAAACCGTAAATTGAGTAACAAGACAACGTTCCCCTCGTTATTTTCCGGTGAGAGTGTGAAGTCATTCTGTAGGCGGAGGCAAGGGACTACAATGAGTCAAATAGCTCCGAAGGAAATTGACGGAGGCAAGGGACTACAATGAGTCAAATGTTTGATCGGATTTGTGCATTAATCAAATCTATGTTTCATCGCCAAGTTATCGTTTTTGAAATCTGTCTAACATGCTAAATCAAATCACCTTGGTTGACGCCAAATTGAGTACATTCAGACGATGCATTCCAGAGACATTCGTAATCTTGTTTGACGCCAAATGAAACACATCGTCACTCATTTTTCCCCCTTCTTTCACTTGATACCAGTCAGAATTATGAGTGAAAGTAAAGCGACCCTATCTGCCATGACCGGTTGCTACTAGAGTAATTCACTTCTGGACACGCATTCATCTTTTGTTACTAAAGTAACAAATACCCCAGCTTAAAGTGACAAATATAGTAGCGATTAAAAACAAAAACAGAAATATGTCTAGATACAAATTAGACATACTAATGGAAATGAAAAGTAAACCTATCCCATTTATCCACTTCGTGCTTACAATTCCGCGGGATTACTTACCTTCCTATGTCCAAGTCCAACTACGTTTCAACTAAACCTAATCCAACAAGCACCATTCAAAACCACCACCCACCACCACAGAGGACAATTAACAAAACAAAATCAAAGACTCATTCAACTACCCTCCCTCCCTCATTTTTCTTCCATGCTTAAAAATTCGCATTGCCAAAGAAACAATAAACACACTGATTTCAGCCAAACATCAAATTTTAACCCCAACTCATTTCCTCTCTCCCTCCTCTTTCAAATCGACCACACATTTCTATAACCGGCTTTCGGAAAATGAAACCAAACTGATACCCTTTTGTTATGTGAGAAATCAGACAGTAATTGGTTCGAATTTCTCACCTATACTACCACCTTTCTGTTTGTGGAACCGGATGTATCGGAGTGTGCTGGCAAAGAAAGCATCGGAAGCTGGATCGGCAGTAACAGAGTCACTTTGCATCTCTTCGGTTATTAGTTCAACCAGATCCTGGATCATATTGCTTGTGATCTGCGGATTGCCCTTCTCAAAAAAGTAGAGGTACCTGCAGAAACACAGGAAAGATTAGCCTGACAAACGACGATTCGACTTCAAAGCTGTGGTCGGGGCCGAGCTTTACTTGTTTAGTATTTCGACGAAGAGCGTAACTGGGCCACTGCTCCCCCTGGCAGCATTGGCCATTTGTTGGGCTGCATTTGCGATCCTCAAGGCTCGCTTCAGGCATAGCAGGACTCTGAAATTACAGATTAGAAGACACACGAAGTCAGAGATGTTGACTTGAATATAAAGTCCGATGAAAATACAGATTCTAAAAAGGACCTCTCTCCATCCTTGTCTCCATCCTGGTCATCGACCCAAAAGAGGTGAGAGCAGGCAAAAACTGCTCGGCATTGGTCAGGCTTCTTCAAAAGCTTTGCAGAATACTTGAAAAAGAAAGAACCAAGTTATTCATGGGGTTTGCTAATATAATAAAGGGAACAAGTTACTGAGAAGGAAAGAGTTAAGGATTCTTGCTCCGGTGGCCTTGTGTGTTAATGTATCCCTGTTCTCAATTCCGAATACTTGCATCCTCTGGAGGGTTCCAACGATTAGATGTATAGCAGTCACCTGAGCCTTCGAATCCTGATTTCCAAGAAAAAAAAATCTTCAGCAGAAAGGGGATTAAGGAACCATTCTCCATGAATTGTTGATTCAGAGAATTCAGCTGAAGGGACCGATCGAGAGAGTAATTGATTACCGCAATTTCCTCTTCATACAACACATAAGCCTGGGTGAAAAATTCATAAGCAATTGGCTCAAGCTCACAGTCGTTAGCTGCCTGATTATAAAAAAAGACATAAATTAGAAACCAGGAAGAAATGGAGTGAACAGTGCGTTCATCTATAAAATTTCCATCATTTATCGAAGAAGTAATAAGAGAGTGCAAATATATCTCGTCCATTGTATTTATTTTTGGTTCTTCATCATCTCTAGATTCTTAAATTATCAAAAGGGTCGACCATACATACCTCAGCACATTGCAAGAACAACTTTAATGCCAGCTCGGGTGATGGAACAACTGAAAGAGCTTCAATAGTCTGATTAAAAGTAAATTATGTCGCCGTATCCACCAAGAAGGGTATCATATATACCAATATTGGATACTCAAACTAAACTATTTCTCAGAAATGTTAAAAGTTGAAACTACAGCAATGGCACAATGTTCCACTAGTTGAAACGGCAATTATGCAAGAGAAACATCAAGCGGGTTCCAGAAAGGCTAATCACCTACACTGATAAAAATTCAGAATCCCAATATGCTATTCTACTTGAGAGCATGTTTTACCCAATGAGCAACTAACTAAGCCCACTGAGAGATAAATTACACGATGATTACAGCATCTGATAAATCACGAGTCAAAAGAGTTACCTGATTCAAGAGCTGGAAAATAGCCTTTGGTGTTGCAGGCACTTCCTCTCCCACTACATCTCCATCATGAGCTTGCAAGCATCTAATAAGCTGTGTTCCATGTACATAATTATAAACAATCAAATGCCAGACACAAAGTCTTGCACCTGATAAATTGAAAGAATAGCCTCCACATCATCAAGAATCTACAATTGATCACTCAACCTTAAGACATAGTAGATCCTATTTCCAAAAGCCTTAACTCTATACTAAACTTGTCCTATCACAGGGCCTTTGTAAGTGCATTGCATATGATATGACAACCGACTAGTTCAACTTCATGCGTGGGAGCTGGGAAGGAAGGGGCGGTGGGGGTGGTCAGATCCTTAAACTAGTTATGAGGAAGAAAAATTAATATACAGCCAAAACAAATGCATACCGTTAGTGCGGAAAATACAAGCGGGGGAACTGTAAAAGGTAGTCGTGTTGGCCCACCATTCATGATGTGCTTTCTCACTGTGTAAATAATCTGAAAACAAAAGGCGAGCTGAGTGAGCCAAATGGAAGCATGAAGGTAAGATGTTTAAAAAATGCAGCAAGAAATCATCAGAAAGTACCTGCAACAGTTCTTCAGGGTCGTCATTATATAACATGTTTATAAGGCGAGCGACAGAATTTTGCTCTTCCTTGAAATCTTCCTCGTCAAGCTAGATTTTTGTGCCAAGAAACAGATATACATCAATGGCAAATTTAGAAGGGATGAGGTTGAATAGGCAAGGAAAACTACAGACAGCAGTGGAACTTCAGAAAGAAAGAAACCAGGCTACTAAGGCAGGACTGTTTACTTCATACCTCATCTGCAGTTGTTCCGTCTAAATCCTTTATGAGCCCTTTTATTAATTCGAACAAGACCTCAACCTACAAAGATCAATGACCAAGTTACTACACATTCGTATAAAAAGTTCCGAATGCATTCTCGATTTCAAATTTTGTTGAGGATATACCTTATCAGCAGTGGAAATGCAGCTACTGTTCTTCATGATGGATTGAATTATAACCATAGCCATGACTTTATTTGTTTCATTATCCAAGTGGTCCATAACACGAGGATAATTTGAAAGTGTTAAAGCAGTGACAATATCATTGAATTTCTCCAGAGGAGCACTCAGGAGTACAACGATTTGTTTGGTTGCTCTCTTGTCTTCAAGTCGAGGCTTCTCAGCAAGCTTCTTCACACATGCACCCTATAGCCAATACACATGATTCAAAAGATTATACCAATTTGATGGCAAAGTAATTTATTATAACCATGAGTCGCATTACCACATTAGAAGAAAAATATACCAGTATTTGATCAACATAGTCCAAACGATCTGGATGAACGCGGAGAGTAAATGTAAGTAGAGACACATACAAAGTAATGGCTCCAACAACAGGCATGTCAACTTGTGCTTCTATAACCTGTCATTTACAGTGCAGTAGTCAGCCTATGACTAGCAGTTCCTATGAAATAAATGAAATAACCCCATAGAGAACAGAAGTAATAAAGCAAGAAAGCAAAAGTGATTAACCTTGCTAATAGCACTGCTCAATTTAGCAAAAGCTTCTACTTGCAAGAACTCTGGTAGAACCTGGAAGAAGAACAATGAATAAAGCTAATGGAAGATAAAAGGAGGTCTAGTTAAACGTACTCACATCTGGACAGGTGGCTGCATAATTAGACAATCTGTCCATCAACTGAGAGAGAACAGTCTTGACGTCTACAGTTGGCTGGAAATAACATGAGAAGAATCAGTATGTCAACCTGACACAAGTGTCTCATAAAGAAGTTTCCTTTCACTTAGAGACCCAACACCATGTTAACTGCACATCATTTAAGCACTATAAAACTAGTTTCAGAAGATATTCATCTGTGTTAATTAAAGGTTCCATTTCCTTTGGTGGAATCTAGTTATCTATAATATGTCTTATTCATTAAAAGAAAATTAAGAAAAAGAAGAAACCACCTCAACCAGAACCTCAATCGTTAAACTTGCAACTTCATAAATAGCATCCAATATGACATTGCGGTGTTAAGGTTGTGCCAGATAATATAATAACAGAGATATGCCATACATTCTACGTGGTGGAGCCATGGATTTTATGCAACAAATGACAAAATGAGGATTAAGTCCTTTGAGAGGAGAACAAGCTACCTGAAGGTGCGGGCAAGCTGCCAATAGTGTCTCCAGGCTCTGCAAATGGTACTCATCTGGGAAGACCTGAATTATGCAATCCATCAAGTAATACTGTGCCAGTTCATCCTTACAATTGACAACCTGCACCAACATATGGACTTTGCTTAGATGCTTGAGAGACAACAAGACGTCATGCGCGGCCCGATTGACTCCTCAAGGGAAGAAAAAGTAGCAACATGAGAAGAAACCAATCATACCTGCTCTAAGACTCTGGGAAGAACATTCTCTCTGTACACTTCAAGGTCCACACCATCTAGTTGACTAAGAATATGAAGATTCTTCCCCACCTAACAAGAGCAAAGGTACAGGTATCACTTATATAGTAAACTGCAGCCACCACATATTGTTTGCTATTTCTGGACCAACGGGCATGACATAAAAGATCATTACAAGATCACGGAGCTCGCTTCTTTCCTTTCCCCGCTTGTCTCTATCCTGACCAGGTCCCTGCAGACCAGAAAGCCCAATTGAAGTCCTCAACTCAGGTCACCAAACACCAAAACACCCTGCATAGCCAAAAATCATGTTCTCATGATTCATTTTTTACCTGTACGGCATTGCAAAATCAAGTATCATGGTGCTATGCATGGCAATAACATGGTAAAAGAGAACAATAATGTAGAGATAAACATCAAACCTGATGGTGCAACCGGACCCAAAGTTTATTCATCTCCACGAAATTCTGCAGCACAAATTCTATAGCATCCATGACAGTGCTGCCTTCTCTATCTCTGGAAGTGACACGTCAAAATCGAATGTAAGAAACAGATCAGAAGAGGGCCACTGCATCAAGAGGCCACATAGTGAACTGATCAAATGAAAATTTATGCAAATACATTGTAATCTAGATACCACGATAATAGTCCACTAGGTATATATATACCATTATGATTAACTACAGAATTCTTTGTCCTTTCTGAACTACATATTATTCTTTACCTAGAGCTTTTCACTGCCTTAACCTATAATCAGAAAGCACATCAGTGATTTTTTTTACATTCTAAAGAACAACTCAATTTGTGAAGAATCGCCGAGGAGTAACCTGCTTACCTTTCATAATCAGCACCAATATCAGGCAACTTATCCCTACTGACTTGAACGAGGTAACTTCTGAGAAACAATCCACGAACAGGATGCTGAACACCTCTACACATTTCCACGAGATCCTTAAGCACATCTTTGGGCGGAGCTTCTTTTGTTTTCATATACACTGATCCAACCGTACAGAGTAGGTACCTAGTAACGAATATCACGTATCAGCTTCGCAAACCGCCAAACTAACGCTCGCGAAATTCCAATTCAAACTTAAACCTAAGACAAGCTTCAACAGTTCAATGCCTCTATCACTGGTAGTGGTAAGGAGAACACTTACAGCCTAGGCAATATGTTGCCTGCATGGTGTACAAGCTCATACAAATCGACGACTGAAACTCCATGCCTGCTCTCATCCTTGAAGAACATCTCCAGCTTCCTCAACTCATCAAACGCTCGCATATCTACAAATTCTCGCCAAAAATGTTCAGTCACCATCAAAACTCTCCCCTTCGATGAAATACGAAACCAGAATTCCGAGTTTGAAAGAGAGTTCGGAGAGCGAGGTAATTACAGAGCTCGTAGTACTTGTGAGGCGAGAGCTTTGACGTTCGGAGCTCGGAAAGCATCTGAGCTGAGTACTTGAGAGCATCTCTGAGATTATTAGCGTCCTGAGAAGATGAAATTAAGTTTTCCACCGCTAAATTTTTTGAAGCAATTCAACGGAGCGAGAAGAGAACAGAGAAGTAGTCCGATAAACTGATCGAGAGAGAGAAGTACCAGCGCGCGATGCATGAACAAGGCGTTCTGCTGAACGCTGGCGATTCCTTCCGCCAGCCATTTCTCTTCGTCCTCGATTCCGCCCAGCAACATCGTTCTTCTTCCTTCTTCTCTCTCAATTTGACTCTGCTGGAGTGGAGCGGAGCTCTTCTGGTTCGGATCTAGCGGGCTAATGGAGAAATAGAGAATGGGAAGAGACCGCGATTTTTCTTTTTCTTTTTCATAGAGCGGTTTTTTTAGGAGAAAAAAAACCCAGTAACGGCCAGTGGGAGGGAGGGATAGGAATAAAGTTATCAAACCGGTTTAGCTGTGTAATGGTTCTACTAGTAATTTATGTTGGTTAATAGTGATTTATATCGTTTAATATTAGTTTAATAAAATATGTAGAAATGTAAAATATCATTAATATTAATATTTAACGTCTATAAGTAAATATTTATATGTGAATTTAACAAATAACATCAATATTTTACTTTAAAATACATTATAAATTATTTTTTGATTAATTAAATTTAAGCGACGTGATTTTAGTTAAGAGTTTTAAATTAATCATGCTGGTGATGTTTATACCGTTTTCATTGTCGGCATGCTATCAACATGACAACCATGGTGCTAACCTGCTAGGTTCTAAACTTCTAATGTAATCCTTGCAGTCACGAGACACAACACACATGTAAAGTTTATGACAAAATTAATAAATTCTTATGTATGTTTATGAAATGGATTAATCTAATCTGGTGACGTAAGAGTATTTTGTTACTGTATTAATATTGGGCCAGCTCGTTTCTCCATCTGTCCAGCCCAAGTCCTGTGACGAGCCCGACGATTCTGTCCGCGTTGGGAAGCCCTTGAGTGGGCGTTGCATGGCCAAGTGGCCTTCCTCCCCACGTAGTGAAGAACTAAACCTAGCTACTGCTTCCCCATGTATAAATAGTCATGTAATGCCTATTGGCATGGTAACCTAATCAATCAATAATATCAGTAGCCGGAGAGGATTCCCTCTCCCGTGGACTAGTCCCGATCCATCGGGGATACCACGTAAACTCTGTGTTCTCTTTCGTTTTCGTTCTTGCTCTCACAAGTTCTCATGGTATCAGAGCACCGGTTCTAGGGTTTGCTCTTTGCGTTCTGTACTTGCGTCGACATGAGTGATTCGGACGAACCGAAGACTACCAGCGACGGCAAGAAAGTACTCAAGGGTGCCGACGGGTCATCTGGATCGTCGGTGGCCATGGATCCCTCATCAGCGCTGTATCTCCACCCGTCGGACACCACGGGACAGCAGCTATCTGTCGGGGAAGTTCTTACCCCCACCAACTATGGAGAGTGGGTCGTTGATATGACGGACTCACTCATCGTCAAGAATAAATTCGGATTTGTCGATGGGACAATCCCCAAGCCACAAGGTGAGCCTGAAAACGGGCCTTGGAGTAGGTGTGACGCTGTTGTCAAAGGCTGGCTACGCACATCCATGAACAAAGAAGTCCGTAGCAGCGTGCGGTACGCCAAAACTTCAAGGGAAATATGGTTGGATTTGAAGGAAAGATTTGGTCAGGGTACACTCACACGCGGGTATGAATTGCGACGCTTGATTTCCGGGCTGTGGCAGGAGAAGCATAGCGTTTCTTCATTCTATACACAGCTAAAGAGCTATTGGGAAGAGGCGCAGTCAATTTACCCACCTGAGAGATGCACTTGCGGGCAATGCAAGTGTGACCTGGAGCGACGAACGCGGGATCGTGAGGATTGCACCCGACTACTTGACTTTTTGATGGGACTAGATGTGAGCTTCAGCACTGTTAGAAGCCAAATATTAGCCATGAAACCGCCTCCCACTTTGGCCGAGGCATTTAATATTGTCTCTAATGATGAGAAACAACGTTTACTAGCTCAACGACGGCGTCCCGAATCGGAAGCAGCTGCTTTTGCGTCCCAAGGAGGCACTAGAGGTGATCACGGACGTGAGCAGCACTCTCGTGAGTCTCGTGGAGAGACGGGACGTTCTCAGTCGGATCGTTACTCTCGTGAATCTCGGGGAGAGGCTGGGCGTTTTCAATCGGACCGCTCATCTCCGGATTCACGTGGCACTAGCTCTCGTCCTCGAGTGAGGTGCACACATTGTGGAAAGCCTGGTCATCTCAAGGAAACGTGTTTTGAGATCATCGGATGGCCGTCCCGCGAGAAGCAAGGCACACCTGATCGCGGGGAGCGACGGTCTCGCCGAGGTGCACAAGACGGACACCCGCGTGCATCACAAGTTGAAGGCGACGTGAGCCCAGTCCCCGGGTTCACCATGCATCAATTGGAGCAATTAAAGAAATTCTTTGATCATACGAAACCTGCCGAAGATCCTTCAGCTAGCATGGCAGGTAATTTTCTCAACTCTTCTGAGTGGTTAATAGACTCGGGGTGTAACGAGCATATCACCACCGACTCTTCCTTATTTTGTGACACCGTTTCCCGTGCCGGGAGCCAACCTGTTCGGCTGCCGAATGGTGAACAAGTGCCGGTACAGCAGGTTGGAACAGTTCGATTTCCTACAGGGTTAAACCTTGAGCGAGTTCTACATGTGCCACAGTTTCGATGTAATTTGCTGTCGGTCAGCCGTTTGACGCAAGATAATGATGTTGCTTTGATCTTTATGCGTGATATGTGCATACTTCAGGACTTACACTCCAGGAAAGCGATTGGGAAGGGTGAGTTACGTGATGGCCTCTATTACTTGAAGTTGTTCGAGAGTCATGAGTGCTTTGTGTTCGCTGCTGGGAGTACAGGTCGAGTTGCGCATGATCGGTGGCATGAGCGCTTGGGGCATCCATCTCTGGAGCTTATGTCGCAGCTTTCACCCATTATTCCTTTGTCTCATAATAAGTCTTTGAGCCCTTGTCATCCTTGCTCAAGGGCAAAACAAAGTCGGCTACCGTTTTCTTCTAGTTCTATTAAGACTACGGGATGTTTTGATTTGATTCACATGGATATTTGGGGGCCATACAAACAGGCTTCTCTTAGTGGTGCACATTGTTTTCTCACGATTGTTGATGATTATAGTCGTGGAGTCTGGGTTTATTTACTCAAGTTCAAGTCTGATGTTGCTCGGACCATTCTTATGTTTTGTGAAATGGTCAAAACACAGTTTAACAGGCAGGTACGCCGCATACAGGCAGACAATGGGCTGGAGTTTCGCACCCATACCTTGCTTGATTTTTATGATCGTTCGGGCATAGTTTTGCAGACCAGTTGCACCGATACCCCTCAACAGAATGGCGTCGTGGAGCGTAAGCATCGCCACATTTTGGATACCGCTCGAGCACTGAGGTTTCATGCTGGGCTCCCCGTGAGATTTTGGGGTGAATGCATTCTTACTGCCGTCTATCTCCTTAATCGCCTTCCCACGTCAGCCACAGGTCAGACCCCATTTGAAGTTCTTTTTGGCCGCCCAGCGCGTTATGATCATCTCCGCGTTTTTGGGTGCCTAGCGTATGCCAAAGATACTCACAATCACCTTCACAAGTTCGCTGCACGGGGGCGCACTTGCATTTTCCTTGGTTATGCGGCCACGCAGAAGGGATATCGACTGTTTGATCTTGATACTCAAAAGGTATTGGTTTCCCGTGATGTTATTTTTCACGAGTCTCATTTTCCATATCGTGCGCAGGACCCCCATGAATATCACTGGCTCCCTCCAGCCGTTTTCGAAGATGACTCACCTGCACTGGACTCGGGTTCTCCTTTGGAGAATTATTCCTCTTCGACTACACCTGCAGGCGCACAACCCAGCTCGCCCACGCCATCCGCTGGGCCCAGCCCTTTTCCGCCCAAGTCCCCTGCCGCGCCTTCTGGGCCGCCGTCACCTCCCACGTCTGGGCCGAAGTCACCTCCCAAGTCTGGGCCGCAGACATCTCCCGAGTCTCCATCCAGCCCAAGTTCCTCGGGCCCTCCTGTAAGCAGCTCCCAGCCCATCGTCGAACCTGTTCGGCCAGATCTGACCGAGCCCACTGGAGATGCCATTCCAGTTCTCCGTCGCAGCGATCGTCATCGCACGCGCCCCAAGCGGTTTGACAATCATGAAACCGAGTTTGCAGGCGCTAGCACAGTCAGGTACCCATTGGCAAATTATATCTCTTATGCTAATGTTTCCAAACATTACCGAGCATTTCTTGCAGCGGTCTCCAAAGAAGATGAACCCCGTACTTTCAACCAAGCTTTCCGACAGGCATGTTGGCGTGCGGCTATGGCTGCTGAAATTGCAGCACTTGAACAAAATAATACGTGGACCCTCGTTGAACCCCCTGCGAATCGTCGTATTGTTGATTCGAAGTGGGTATTCAAGATCAAATATCGACCTGATGGCTCCATCGAGCGTTACAAAGCTCGTTTGGTTGCGAAGGGCTTCACTCAAGTGGAAGGTGTTGACTTCCACGACACTTTTGCGCCTGTGGCCAAGCTTGTGACCCTTCGGTGTTTGCTCACTGTTGCTATCCACAGAGGCTGGTTTCTGCATCAACTAGATGTCAATAACGCATTCTTACACGGAGATTTGGAAGAAGAAGTGTATATGCGCGTTCCTCCTGGCTTTGCAGCACCGGGTGATAACCGTGTCTGCAAATTGAACAAGTCTATTTATGGGTTGCGTCAAGCTTCACGGAACTGGTATCAAAAGTTCACTGCTGCGCTTTGTGAGATGGGTTTTCGGTCTTCTCCAGCCGACCATTCTTTGTTCATATATCGACATGGCGCCACTTTTGTTGCTGCCCTGATTTATGTTGACGACGTTCTCCTTACTGGTAATGATCTCACTTTTATTAGTCGGGTCAAGGCCTTCCTGGATCGGCAGTTCAGTATTAAAGATTTGGGACCTCTACGCTATTTCCTTGGCATCGAGGTCGCTCGTTCTCCCCAAGGCCTCATTCTCAGTCAACGGAAGTATGTTCTGGATATTCTCGAGGAGGCAGGTGTGCAAGCTGCCCGTCCCAGTGCTTTCCCGGTCGAGCAAAATCATCAGTTGACCAAGCCGGGCGTCTCTGATCCACTACTTGATGGGTCCTCTTTTCGTCGTCTCATCGGGCGCCTACAGTATCTCACTGTCACTCGCCCAGATATCACGTATGGTGTTAACATATTGAGTCGGTTTGTTCATTCGCCTACTCAAGCTCACATGGATGCGGCCATCCGCATCCTTCGGTATTTAAAGCAGTCCCCTGGTCAGGGACTTTATCTTCCCGCGCAAGGGGCACTGGATCTTGTCTCCTACTGTGACGCGGATTGGGCCGGCTGTCAAAGCA